GGTAAATAGAGGATCTCTTACAACTATATAAAATTATGGCTAAGATATCTGTATGGTTAGCCCTACTAAGTTCTATGCTTTAAGACATTATAGTGGTAAATAAGGGAACCACCCACGGTTACAACTTGTTTGTGTAGCTGGCACAGATCGACCACGTCCTCCCCCTGCAACAGGAGCTGCACCAACACCAGCAGCACCACGACCAGGGCCACGTCCCTTATTTGACACGCTCCTCATTCTTTGCGTTCACCCAAACTATCAGATGGTTTATGTCAGGCGACAATGTAACTGCCAATAGTTAACAATTAAGTTCACTGACAGTAACGCAGTGCCGATGTCCTAAAGAGAAAACATTTCTAAAGGTCACACAATAGTGTGACAGACATAATTACTTCATGGTCTCAAAAAAATTGAATTTGTCAACCAACAATGTAACAGTAGTATTTAACGGTTTTATTGGACTGCAAGAAATGCACCGCAGGCCGCAAATGTACTATTTAGCACCAAACAAATTTGAATTTTTCAAAGTGCGATGTAACCACAATATTTGACGTTTCTATTTCATTCTCAGATATGAAGTGCACGCCCCAAATGTACTTTTTAGCACCAAAAAAAATGTGAATTAGTCAAACTGCTAGGTCACAGCAGTATTTGAGGGTTCTATTTGACTCTCAGATATGAAGTGCACACCCCAAATTTACTTTTTACTACCAAAGAAATGTGAATTTTTCAAAGTGCGATGTAACCACAGTATTTGATGGTTCTATTTGACTCTCAGATATGAAGTGCACTCCCCAAATTTACTTTTTAGTGCCAAAGAAATGTGAATTTTTCAAAGTGCGATGTAACCACAGTATTTGATGGTTCTATTTGACTCTCAGATATGAAGTGCACGCCCCAAATTTACTTTTTAGCACCAAAAGAATTTGAATTTGTCAAACTGCAATGTCACAGCAGTATTTAAAAATGTCTAGATGTTGCCCACTGAGCTACCAGAACAGGATTAAATTAATGTGCCTGGCAGACATGCAGTTGCAAGTGCCCACCTAACAAACAGACTGATTGCTTATTTCTCTGTGGCACTGGACTGGGAAATGTCCAGGTTCGGGGTCAAAAAATCTTAATGTTCGGTACGAACCCGAACTTTACTGTTCGTGTTCGCTCATCTCTACTAATTAACAGTAGGCATCAGATATAGGTCATTCCAGACTGAAGGAGAAACAATGAATCCAATTAGAGGATTAGAGCATTTGATTAGCGCAGCGTGGCATTTTGCCTAGCATGCACACTATCCTTTCAATGTTTTTCTACTGGAAAGCATTGGATTGGCTCAGATCATCAACATTGAGGATCTGAGCTAAATATGTGGAATGGCAGTGAAAGAAACAGTGTGACGTGTGTTGAAAGGTAAGTAATACCTTTCAAACCTTCAAACAGAGGGGAAAAACTCCACAACCCAAGTGATTTGTGTCCATTGTTATAATTTTTTTATGATCTTCTAGTGGAAACCCTTTGTTCAGATTGAACTCCTTCCACCGTTTTACCATCAGCTTGAGTCCATGAGGGATAATGATCCACTGATCCCAGTTTGTGGAGGTTTTGTAGAATTGCCTGAGAAAATGTAACACTGCTTGCCAATGTGCCCATCTGACAAGAACCATGGCAGATGTTAGGGACTCTATGAATCTCTGATACTGATGGGCTTGAGTTTTTGTCCTTAGAAGGAAGTTTTAGATTTTGATCTTTATCTGAAATTTGTTGTCCTGAGAAAAAGTTACTCAAGACCTATTCTGTGTGCTGAGGCTCTGAACAATAATTCTGAGTGTCTACCACAATATTGTCCAGATAATGAAATATTTCAACTCCTTTCTTCCTTATACAAACACAAAGATAAAGCACCGCGCTTACAGCAGCAGTTGCTTAGTATCCAACAGCTTAAAATACATAATAAAAACAAAGAAAAACGTTACCTGCGCTCTGGCCTAAATCCCCATGTGCATTTGAACAAAAATGGAGGCTCTTTAGTTCTATTCTAAATGGCCATTTGAATATATAAGCTCACCAGCCACGTCAGTTCCTACACTAGCCATTAGATATGCTGATATCAGCCAAGAGTCTCCAATGAGACAGGAAGGGGTATTTTATAAACCCTTTAACATTTAACCCTTTATAGGGCTTCTGCACATACAATAAACTTTGCTGATATCAGACAAAGTGAGACAGAAAGGGGTGTTTTATAAACCCTTTAACATTTAACCCTTTATAGGGCTTCTACACATTCAATAAACTTTGCTGGTATCTTCCTTAGAATTGCTACTACCGTAATTAAGATTTTCAAGTATGTTATGTGTGCAAGACAGAGCCTTCAAATTGGTAGTGTTTACTCAGACTAAATAATCTCAGGAATTTTTGATGAGACTGATGTATGAGAATCTGATAGTAGGGATCATTCAACTATTAAGATGATCCAATCTCCTTGATCTATTGTCTGGCTTATGGAACAGATGAACTCCATCTTGAAGGACATCTTTTTGAGGAAGACATTGATTAGCTTTAAGAGTAAAATGAAAGAGGTCCACGCACTCCTTGGTTCAAGACAGACATTGATTAGTTTAAGTCTAGGATTAGACACCATATCCACTGGGGTTTGGGAAACAGGAATACATTTGAATATAATCATTTGTATCTTTCTTGAGGGGGAACTTCTAAGATTGCTTCTTGAGGTCTTAGTTGTTGAATACAAACTGTCAGGACTTTTTGCTTAATGCCTGGAGAAACTATTGATCAGTGGAAATGGAAGGATTCCAGATACTCTTGGAACCCCAGTCTGTAAACACCTTTGATAATACTTAGAGCTTTTAGTTACTATTTGTCATAGTAATAGAAATATCAGAAGTGGATTACGAGAATTAATGATATTATATGCTTACCCCACTAGCTATGTCTTCTTCCAAGTCATCAATCCAGACTTTAAAACTTCTCACAAATGATTTAAAAGCTACTGCTAGATGTAAGCCCAATTTAGCAGCCTGCTATGTTTTCACCAAGTTTTAGACCATACTATTTCCATAGGCTCTTTTAATTATG